CTTTTTTTTTTTTTTTTTTGCTTGCCTTGCACTACGTGCCTGGATAGTTTGTGGATATAATTATTGACTGGCGTCTGAGCTGTTGCAGTGCGGGGGGGTTAGGGAGGAAGGAATCCACCCCCACCCCCCCAAACCCTTTTCTTCTTCTTGCCGGGGTTCGGACATTGGAGCACTAAATGAACTTGAATTGTGTCTGTGGCGAGCAGGATGGTCGCTGTTACTTTGTGATGAGATCGGGGATGAATTGCTCTCTTTAAAAATGCTGCTTTGGATTCTGTTGCTGGAGACGTCTCTTTGTTTTGCCGCTGGAAACGTTACAGGGGACGTTTGCAAAGAGAAGATCTGTTCCTGCAATGAGATAGAAGGGGACCTACACGTAGACTGTGAAAAAAAGGGCTTTACAAGTCTGCAGCGTTTCACTGCTCCGACTTCCCAGTTTTATCATTTATTTTTGCATGGCAATTCTCTCACTCGACTTTTCCCTAATGAGTTCGCCAACTTTTATAATGCGGTTAGTTTGCACATGGAAAACAATGGCTTGCATGAAATCGTTCCCGGGGCTTTTCTGGGATTGCAGCTGGTGAAAAGGCTGCACATCAACAACAACAAGATCAAGTCTTTTCGAAAGCAGACTTTTCTGGGGCTAGACGATCTGGAATACCTCCAGGCTGATTTTAATTTATTACGGGATATAGACCCAGGGGCCTTCCAGGACTTGAACAAGCTGGAGGTGCTCATTTTAAATGACAATCTAATCAGCACCCTACCTGCCAACGTGTTCCAGTATGTGCCCATCACCCACCTGGACCTCCGGGGAAACAGGCTGAAAACCCTGCCCTATGAGGAGGTCTTGGAGCAAATACCTGGCATTGCCGAGATCCTGCTAGAGGATAACCCCTGGGACTGCACCTGTGATCTGCTTTCCCTGAAAGAATGGCTCGAAAACATTCCAAAAAATGCCCTGATCGGCCGAGTGGTCTGCGAAGCCCCCACCAGACTGCAGGGTAAAGACCTCAATGAAACCACCGAACAGGACTTATGTCCTTTGAAAAACCGAGTGGATTCTAGTCTCCCGGCCCCCCCTGCCCAAGAAGAGACCTTCGTTCCTGGCCCCCTGCCAACTCCTTTCAAGACAAATGGACAAGAAGATCATGCCACCCCAGGGTCTGCTCTGAACGGAGGTACAAAGATCCCAGGTAACTGGCAGATCAAAATCAGACCCACGGCAGCGATAGCGACGGGCAGCGCCAGAAACAAACCCCCAACCAGCGGCTTGCCCTGCCCTGGGGGCTGCAGCTGCGACCATATCCCAGGGTCGGGTTTAAAGATGAACTGCAACAACCGGAACGTGAGCAGCTTGGCTGATTTGAAACACAAGCTCTCAAACGTGCAGGAGCTTTTCCTGCGAGATAACAAGATCCACAGTATCCGAAAATCACACTTTGTGGATTATAAGAACCTCATCTTGTTGGATCTGGGTAACAATAATATCGCCAGCGTGGAGAACAACACTTTTAAGAACCTTTTGGACCTCAGGTGGCTGTACATGGATAGCAACTACCTGGACACTCTGTCCCGGGAGAAGTTCGCGGGGCTGCAAACCCTGGAGTATCTGAACGTGGAGTACAACGCGATCCAACTCATCCTCCCTGGCACCTTCAATGCCATGCCCAAACTGAGGATCCTCATTCTCAACAACAACTTGCTGAGGTCCCTACCCGTGGACGTGTTCGCTGGGGTCTCACTCTCTAAACTCAGCCTGCACAACAATTACTTCATGTACCTTCCAGTGGCAGGGGTGCTGGACCAGTTAACCTCCATCATCCAGATAGACCTGCACGGCAACCCCTGGGAGTGCTCCTGCACTATCGTGCCTTTTAAGCAATGGGCAGAACGCCTGGGTTCCGAAGTGCTGATGAGCGACCTCAAGTGTGAGACGCCGGTGAACTTCTTTAGGCAGGATTTCATGCTCCTCTCCAATGATGAGATCTGCCCCCAGCTGTACGCGAGGATCTCGCCCACGTTAACTTCGCACAGTAAAAACAGCACCGGGTTGGCGGAGACCGGGACGCACTCCAACTCCTACCTAGACACCAGCAGGGTGTCCATCTCCGTGCTGGTCCCTGGACTGCTGCTGGTGTTTGTCACCTCCGCCTTCACCGTGGTGGGCATGCTCGTGTTTATCCTGAGGAACCGAAAGCGGTCCAAGAGAAGGGACGCCAACTCCTCGGCGTCCGAAATTAATTCCCTACAGACAGTCTGTGACTCTTCCTACTGGCACAATGGGCCTTACAACGCAGACGGGGCCCACAGGGTGTATGACTGTGGCTCTCACTCGCTCTCAGACTAAGACCCCCCCACCGGGGTGGGGGAGGGGAGCTGGAAGGCAACACCTTCTTCCGCGCAGCCTGCATCCCAGGGGTTAAAGGGGCCCTGACCCGAGTCCAGCGGGTCCCAAGGCTTGATGGACAGAAGTGAATAAATAACTATGAACTCGCTCGACTGAGAGGGTCTGGCCACTGAGCTCCCTTCTGGAAACAAAGCGCAGACTGTGGCGAGCTGGGAAGAGCGCAGCCAGCTGGCTTTTTGCTGGGAGCCCCTTTTGAGAGAAAGCCCAGCAGGGGCCCTGCTCGAGGAACTGACTTCGGCCCTCGCAGGCAACCGAGGGGCCCGAGGGGAGGGCTGCTGCGATTGCATACATATACACGTATATCCACATCTATATAGAGCGATAGATACCTATTTTTCCCCTGTGGATTATCCCCCCGAGGAGGGGGGCGTGATGGCTCCCTGTTGACTATGCAGGGAAGGGCAGTTGCACGAAGGCATGAATGTATTGTAAATAAATAACTCTGACTTCTGACAAAAACCAACCAACAAAAAAAGACAAAAAACAAAAGTGCTGCATGGCTCGCATGGAATCCACGGCTCCAGGGACGCTGCCCTCCCTTTCGGCTGGAGACGGCGTCTCGTTCACAGCGCCCACCCTCTTACCTGATAAGTCCCATCGTATCAAACTTTCTATAAACAAGATACAGTATAATCAGAAACTGCCATTTCGCCATTATTTGTCGTAGGTAGGCAGTTCAGAGCGTACGTTTACTGTGAAAAAAAAAATGTAAAAGTTTGATTTAAGACATCTGCATGGCTAGCCATCAGTCCAGTTTATGAGTTAAAAATGTATTTTGTTGAGCGAAGTTTTTACGGGTTGTTTTGGGTTCTTTCTTTTATTTTGATGTTGATATTTTATTTTATTTTTGAGGGGAATATTTTTCTATACATATCCAATAATGCCTTCCATCTGAATGTAAAATAAGTACCCATGATTTCTATTATAGTATCAGTGTAATTATATATATAAGAAAAGATTCTGAGGCAGTTAAGCATGACCAATTAATGTCACTCTAGTGCTTAGGCTGCGATCTTATGGTAGCAATTCTGTGCTGGTGTAAATCTTACTTATAAAGGAAGAAAAAAGAACCGAGGAAGCACGTGAAACTTACTAATTCTATTCGAGGATTTTATAATGGCATATTTTTTCAGTATTAAAGTGAAAATGTTTTCAACTCTGGGTCCTTACATTTTTCCAGCTTCATATTTGCAACTGGTAAATCCGATCTGCGGTGGAAGGGACCCGGGAGGGGAATGGTTGGGGGTGGATCCCTCCTTGAGCTCATTAAGGCTCTTTATCTAATGGCCTTTGCTTTTTCACCCTTTACGTCGTTCCCCTCTCCCTCCTCCCCTGATCTGACTTTGTCAGCTTTCCCCTTTCCATCAAGTAAGGTCTTTCCCCAACTCATCCCCGCCCCCGCTCCCCTTTTTTTTTTTTTTTTTTTGTCCCTTTCCTAATGCGGCAGTGAATCCCTTTATTAATATTGGAAATCCCTCGCTGCTGCTTCTGCTGGTGCTGCACTCACTGCAGATATATTAAGTATGTTCGTGGAGATTTGATTTAATTGACACTGCATAGATTGGCCTCATTAAACAGAATGGAGATTTCATTGGTCAGCACTCTTCAATGAAAGACAGCCCTAATGACTGGCATTTGAAATGCTGTTGGTATTTTGAATTCAACATCTGCTGAAAACGGTAAAACTAATTAGTGCCCACCCAGCCTCCCTGCCCAAGCAACTGCATATTGAAATTCGTTAAAGCACTCATCTTTATGGAAATCAATCATTATCCTAAAGAAGTGTTTCTCTCCCATCATCCGGATTTCTGGTTGTGGCCCAGTAATTAACAAGAAAAGCATTGAACTGTTTGAATTCATGAGCGACTGTAACTCCAGCCACAATCATATTCCTCTGGGATCTCTAGGCGAGTCTATTTTATCAGCATTTAGGCTACAACAAGCCAACAAAACCACACATATTGATGAAGTCTGCATTCCACCACATATCCACCCTTGAGAAGTATGTTAAAGGACTGCAGACCAGAGATTTCATATATATATGAAATAATATACAATAATATATATAATAATAAATCAACTAATGAAAGCCCCCCGAGCAGTTGTTAGAAGATTTGCTTTCTAGAACTCAAATTCTAAAGAGGAGTGCACTCCCAGTACAATGATGTTCTGGCATATGTATTATTTATTTTAACACTTTTTAAATAAAATACTTTATCATAAGTCATGACTATTCCTAAGGCCATTTATCATTTTCTCTCTTAATTCTTTTGTTTTTGGTCTGTATTTCATGGTGGTAAAACTGTCACCACTATCCTCTGACAAATGATATGGATAGTTATTTTATTTTTTCATAAGAAAGCCTTAATTCTTTTTAGGGAAAGTACAACTGGGTTCCTGGTAAGCCACAGAATTATTTATGATGGAAAAATTGAGGGAAGGATAGAGTCATATAGTCAAAAAAATGATGACCTTAAGAAGGAAAACGAAAGATGGCAGATGTAGACATAAGGTCTCTAGTGGATGGTGACATATGATGGATAGTATCTAATGAGGCATGATAGTAATTTTTTAAATTGATACACAGTTAGTTTAGGTCAGGAAACCAGAATCTGTCATAAAAGATGAAGAAAATTTCTCAGTTCATCCTTCATCCTAATAAAAAGTAAATTACAATATAGAAGCTAAGGTTAGTTAAATAGGTAAATTATTTTCAAAATAGTCGCTTCAATGGTTTTAAGTGGTCATTGTGTGCCAGACATGTTCTAAATGGTTTGCATAATTATTTAATTTAACCCTCACAGCAGAAGGGTAAGTTAGTAAGATGTTACTATTCCCGTTACAAAGACGGGAAAATTGAGACTTAAAGAGAGTAAGCAAAAACTCAAGGCAGTAATTAATGATAGTGGAGTTGGGTTTAAATCCAGTTTCCTTTATACTCCAAAACCTCATTCTTTGAAAAAAATAGTCATATATATTTACTTGTCCTTTAAATATAGCTATTTTTTAAAATAATACATAGCTGTAACAATACAGTATCACAAGCACCCAAGTAGTGTCTTCTCAATCCAGTATGTGTCAATGGTCCTTTATATTACCACTATGTCTTGCGACGAAAGAAAAGTGTCCTTCATTCAAAGGCACTAACTTTAGTGTATTCTCCAAGAGTATATAAGAAGGCAACATATAGGAAAAAAGACGTATGTTCTATATCAATTTATGACTTACAGAAATTCAAATCATTAAATCTAAATTAGCTGTATATTGATTCTAAAATGACTAGGGTTATCAGAATATTTTAATAAATTTTTTAAAAAAATATTAAAAGTCAACATAGAGGAATAGAATATAAGTAATGGAAAAAGATAACCAATGATTTTATATGTGAGAACATTAATTATTTAGCTATCTAATGTTTTATTCATTTTGATAAAGTATCTCTGTCATACACATATATTCCATTTAAAAGATATATACAGTCTCACTATATCCCTTTCATTTAAAAATGCTTAGGTTTTTGTTTTGTCTTTATGTAACATGCTAGTATAACTGTAGCTGACATGTGCATTAAGTGAGATTTCTTATATCTAGTTCAATGATTCTTCAATTTATCAAAGTAAAAGAGATTTTAGTTGTGCCAGATTGAAAAAGAGGAAAGAAGAGATCCTGCTTAGTTCCATGGCTTAAAGAAAGTAGTAGCTTCTGTGGCTGCTGCTGTAACTAAGAATATCCTAGAATTTAAGTTGTTGCCATAGAAATTTATTGTTTAACCTTTTTACTTGTTTACCTAGCAGGAAGCTGTAATAGCTGATCTAACATTAGCATAATAGGATATTTCTTAACGGTATTTATATTAGATATAATTAGAATTGCCAGACATTTTAATAAGTGTTAGAATTATATTGGTGAATCTAAGAAGAGTTTATTAATTTAGTTTTGTCCAGGTTGCTAATAAATGTTATTTGGTATATGCAGAAAGATGGATACATTTTCAAGGTTGAACAAGGAAGTGTGTGTGTGTGATGTGTTGCTGGAATATTAAATTGAGTGGTTTCCAATTCATCTCTTTTGCTAGCTAGTTTATAATTACTATATTTTATTTGTATGCTTACTTGTAGAAAAAATGGAAATTTAAAATGTGCTAAATATTTAATTTTAGCATGTATTAAGGTTTGATTCATTTTCTTTTTTATTTGAATATTCAAATGGCAATATATTATTTAATTTTTTAAAGATTAACTCTGATATAAACAGATACAGTAAATGCATACTCAAGATTTTTAAGTTGTATGAGTTGTATTGATGTGGCCCTGAACCATATAAAGAGAACTAAATTTAATGTTTCATATAATCCCCTGGCATTTTCTTTCATCTATAGGGTCTCCAAAATATATTATTATAAAAACTAACTCACAGGACATACAGGGCTTTCTTCTGTTGGGCTCTTTGAAAATTTTATTGTTTTTCAGAATAATAGTTTATATAGTAACATATTAAGTGTTTAAGAAGCACACTTTTCAAATGAAATGAAGTACTGAAGAAATCATTTTAGATTATTAAAGCTCAGTAAAACCCTTTGGCCACTATTGACTTGCAATTTTAGTTTACTGGTTTGGACCTTAATTATCCAATTAATTAGTCTTCTTCCATTTACTTGCTAAACATATATTAGATACTCTAGATACTCAAGATATATTTTTTATTTTTCACAAAGCTCTCAGGTGAAGAATGATTTGAAAATATAAAGCCTTTTGGATAGTTTAGAACCTAAACATTCAATGGGCAACATCAATTGGGCACTGGCTACATGAAAATAGTGTGGAAGCACACATGGGAAAAGAAAATAAGGCATTTCAGCCTCAAGGAGTTTCCCATATATAAAGTGAGATATACAAATCACTGTTTAAGTTGTAAAAGAATAATTCATATTTGGCATTGTTTAAAGGATTAAACTAGAAAAATGCATGTTTCTTTTTTTAAGTAATTTAGTTTTTTAGTAATTCAGAAAAGTGCATTCATCACGCCGGGTTCATTAAATGTTATCCAAACAGCTGAAAATCTTAAAACAATGTTTTAAAATGAAAGAGGCACTTTAATTACGTTGCTGGTTTTATTTTCATTTCTTTTTCCGTAAAATGGGAATAATGCCTGCTTTTTTATAACTTTATGAAAGTTTTATTCCTTAACCATTCTAAAAAGAAAGAATCAAACCAGTTTTTAACTTAACGAATGAATGGTGATTTTTTACTTTGAACTGCTTGATAAATCAACTAATATCAGTTTAGAAAATTGATTTAAGTATCTATGATATCATAAGAAGTTCAGAAATGGATATTTGGTTACTTGGCTTTGCTTTTTGCTGTTTATAAAAATAAAATAGACTACAGAAGTTTTAATATAATATTCTATATATTTTTATAATTTTATTGTAAAACTAATAATCCACTTGCCATTCCTTGCTTAGTAAAACCTTATTTTAAGTTACTTGGTAGCACAGTCCAAATGCACAAGGCCAAGGGTAAGCTGTATCAATCAGAAAACAGAAAGCAAATCCATATTTACTCCCTTCTTTTCCTTATTCCCTTTGCCTCTAACGCTATTCTTTTTCTTGGCAGAAAAATGTAGGAAGGAAATATGCTCAGCTACAGCATGTCGATAGAAAAAGTCAATACATAGTGAAAAATGAAAAGTGCCTGCCTCAACTATAGATAATAAATGGTCAATCCACAGCACTATCACAGAAGCTTTCTTTGTCTGTCTTCTAGAGAAGGGGAATAAATGGAAAAGGGCCACGGGCTTTGTGAACAATCATGGCTCCTACCAGATTCTGTGACATCAATTGTGCATTTTTCCTTCTCAATCAACATTTTGTTTACCATTTTCAAGTAGCATATGCAATGCAAAAGGGATGCTCACTGTTATGATAGTAACATGATTTGAATAATATTACATGTACATACAGACAGCTTTTTGCCACTTATAAACTAACAGGATTACAAAATAGTGAGGAAGTTTAAAACAATACCAATGCCCGGGCAGTACAGTGTAAGCCACATGTTTTGGTCCAGAAATTTTTATTTATTTAGATAACTATTTTATGTAATTATAGATAATATTACATAAGTATATTATCACAGCTAAAATATTATGTTGTATAATGTATGGAATAAACCCAAAAAAAACCCAAACTCATTGCCTTCAAGTCGATTCCGACTCATAGTGACACTATGGGACAGAGTAGAACTGCCCCATAGGGTTTCCAAGGAGTGCCTGGTGGATTCGAACTGCCGATCTTTTGGTTAGCAACCATAGCTCTTAACCACTATGCCACCAGGGTTTCCTTGTATGGAGTAGTATAATATATAATAATGATTATTTGTTCATTTTTGCTGTATTAGATATTTTTGGTAGTAAATCTAATTCAATTGTGAATTCTGTTAACTTAATTGGGCATTGCACCAGTGAGTTTTTTGGTAGTTTATACACCTAATAGGTCCCTGCATGGCTCAAATGGTTTGTGCTCACTTACTAACCAAAAGGTTGGTGGTTCAAACCCACATAGTGGCACTAAGGAAAAAAGGCTTAGCAATCAGCTTGGTTCAAGATTACAGCCAAGAAAACTGTGGTGCTCATTTCTACTCTATAACATATGGGGTTGTCATGAGTTGGAATAGACTCCTTGGCAATGGGTTTGGTTTTTGGTTTTATACACCTAATCGTTGGGTATGACTTTATGACTTTGTTATCGCTTAATCAGAAATTAATCTTAATATACTTTTCAAGATTCTTATACAATGGATGTAAATTGGTTTAATTCATTATCAGATAAATCTAAAGGGATTAAAATCACAAAGACAAAGATTTTAATACTGTTAAACATTGTTTCCTGATTGACTAAATGTTTATCCAGTGTCTTAACACATGCTTTAATGACAGAGTTTACCCTTACTATTATTATTTTTTTTTTGACAGAAAATGTTACATATTTGGTTTTTTAGTAAAACTTTGATTGGGTGACTTTTATATTTTTCACCAGAATGATCAGTTGTTCAACCTTCAGATTTCTTGTTGCAGATGATATTTGGTACAATTAGACCTTAAGACATAACAAGCAGAGTATTCCAAGAGGGTATTACATCTTATGGTGTGATATTACGAGGAGCAAGTCTTGAACCCAAGTAACTCACAGCTGGGAACAGCAATACTCCTCAAGAAATGAATTCCATGGAA